GTCAGAATGGCGAACGGCCGCGTATGTCCGACAACTGTGTTGTACCTGTTGCTACGCGCGCGATCGAACCCCAATACGATAAATTCTTGTTGCGTCAATGATTAATCATGAATGACAAAACGCCGTAATATGATACTGTCCGCCGCCGCTAATAATAAATAACCGCGAACGCGAAACGATTCCATCGGCCATCCCGCGGTATATACGCGCCGGCCCGATGCGATCGACACGCCACCGCTACATTTTTCTCGCGATTCATCGCCGCCGCCGCCGCCGATTGGTCGGTTGACAAACGAAGGGAACTGCAGCCGACCACCGCGTGGATAGGTGATTTTTAGAAAGGCACGGACAGCGACGTCTTCATAGTGCGACGGTGACGGATACGAACGATCGGCCGCTAGAGGGCAGCAGTACCGCTGCGTGTCGCATAAATTCCACCGTGGCGCTGCGGTCGCGCACCGTACCGTGCTACAAGTGGAGGAAAGCTGATCTTCGGACGGGGAAGATCGATCGGTGGATCGAGACGCAACGTCGTCCTCGCAGGTCGCTCGCGTGTACACGCTCGTCGCGCGATCGCGCGATTAATCTTCGTGCTGCGTGAATCGGCGGAAGTGCCACGTCCAGACAAGCAACCGGTGTGCATTTTATATGAAGTCATTTGCATCGAACGCGACCACGAAGTGTGGCCTATAAATTACCGCGTGTCCGCGATAACCGCAACGCCGACGAAAGACAATAAACTCCAGCGACGCGAACGCTTCTGTTTGTCATCCTATTTTCCTTCTCGCTCTAACGCGCGCAGCACTATGTCTCTCCCTTTTTCTCTGCGGCCTCGCGAGCACGGCTACCTTTGCACGGCTCCGATCTAATTGCTACTCTCCACACGGAGTCGTAGGCAGTCGCATGACTGACCGTTCGTGTGCAGGTGAATTAACACGTGACCGTCCATTGACGTTTAGTGCCCCGTGTCTTTGGACGGTAATGTGTCGGGCTCTTTCGTGTGGGTTATGTAAATCCAGATGTCTCCAGCGAAACATTGTCTAGCGATTAAAACGAAACCGTTCTATGACACGATGCCTTTGCTCCCCGTTTCCCGAAATTTGTCAAATTACGAGCGCGTGAATTATAATATAAGTTATTCGAATTAATTCAGATACACGTCTGTAATTGGATAACCGATTTTCTGATAATCCTGTGGCATAGATTTCGCCACTTCAATTTCTCAATTTAAGTATATGCATTTATACAGGAATGTGTAAATTGCACAGGCAACTGTGTATGATATTAGCTAAGAACAGCATTAATTAGAAAACAGGAAGTACGAATACGATATGGATACATCTCGAGCTTGGGACGACTTTGCTAATAACTCACTAGCGCCACCACGGCTCGTAACTACGATAAACATATTCCAAATATCATTTACTACAATATACTTCCTAATTTTGCTCGTATAATCTTGGAATTTCATTTTTACTACATATACCACACCGTTTTAGACACTTCAATTTATACACACACATACGTACACATTCTACATACTCCCAAAATGAAAACTCCATTTCCCAAAATACCTAACCAACCGACCACCGCAGAAAATTTCAAAAATCCTTCAGCATCCCGGAAAAACACCGAAACAAATTGCCTCGTGGCATAACAGAAAGAAGAAACGCACAAACAAAATTTACTACCAGCGTTTCGCTTCGACAACCTAAAATTTGCCGCTGAAAATTTACTACCTCGAAACGTCGTTCCTTTCACGACCGAACCGAAAACCTTTCCGAGAACCTCCCACCCCGACAGCCACCCACGAGAAGGTCCCGATGTCCGCCATATATCCGCCACGCATAGCCGCCTATCAGCTGGATTACGAGGGCGATCGCGTGGTCCGGGCGGCGTGGCGCGTAAATTCAAAGGCGTGCCAGCGCGACCTGCGACCTTCTCCGTAGGAGTCGCCAGCAGCACGCGCTGCGCTGGCCGCTAATGAAGACGCATGCACACCGGTGACGCTGCGGCGCAATAATGAAGATCTACGGGCGAAAGTAACGCCGCGGCACGGCCGGCGGCGGTACACGCACACCTGCGCGCGCAGCCACGGGCCGACGGGAAAGGAGAAGGCGGCGGACACCGCGAAGAAATACGCGGTCAGCAGGTACGCTGAGGTCGCGCTCTTGCAGCTTTCATTAGAACCTGGTCGCGTAGACGGACTGCTTCTTTTGCCGGCACGGACGCGCGAGATTTATGGATTGTTCTCCGCAGTGGCTTTTAACTCTCTCGCTGTTAAAAGGACCCTTGTTGCCTATTGTTAAGCGCCTCCTGTGTATGATATGTGGCGATGGCGCCTTCTCCTTTCCGGCAAGTCTTTCGTCTCGCTTCGCCGGCCTAATGGGTGTACGTTGTTTCGGTGATGCAAGTCAGTTTCGGTTAGGTTAGTGTTCATAAGGAATGCTTGGTACGAAGAATTTAGAAGAGACGAAGGTGAATATGGATGGATTAGGTTAATCTTCGAACAGGTATAGTCCTGGCCGCGATATAGCCAGGTCGAAAATTAAACGCTTAAGAATAGGGACCGATACAGGGCCGTACATAACATCCTGCTTGAGGGGGACTTAGAGAGAATCAAACCACTGAAGTGTCTAATTTTCAAAAATTGATATTTATACATTGGTCCCAGAAGAGTTATAGTGAAATTATTTCTCGTAGTTGTGGCTGTTCGTACATTAACGTGGCACTGATCCATATAGGGTGTCCTGAAAATCTTGCTGTTATCTACTATTCGACGATCGTATATGTAAAAATAAAATAAAATAAAATAAAAATGAATTTTGAAAGACGAATCTTCTATTTCTGTTTCTGTATGTACTATCGAATTGATTATTATTGTTATTATTATATATTGTATGCAATTTGTTATACACCCAGTAACGTCAGTGCCTGCGTTAATACGGGCAATTAAATAAAATTAAATAAATCAAATGAAATTTCCCTCAACATGGACATACGCATTTCCGAAAATATCAACATTCCTGGAAATTTAATTACGATACGTTATCGAGTATTATAATCATTTAAACAAAAATAAAACAATTCCGACCTCGAGGGGTTATTATTTACGTCGTATTCAATTTATTATCAACCCATTAACGGCAGTATTAATACAGACAATTAAATGAAATTAAAATAACAAAATTAAAATGAAATTAAATTCTACTGACATGAACCTATTCCAGCATTTTCAAAAATATCAACTTTCCTAGAAGTTTCATTACACGTCCTCGAATATTACAGTCATTCGAATAAAAATTAAAAAATTCAGTCCTCGAGGGTCCAAACATCTATCAAGGACCTTCCAAAACCCATCCCCATCCCATCTTCAAACAAATTTTTGGCTATTCTTCTACCAAACGAATAAAAATTTTGTCCAAATAAAATTCAATATAATTTTATGAAAAATTTTTGTTTAATAATAAAATTTCTCATTTTATTATTATAAATAATAATAATATTTACCTCCCATCCTTCCACGCGAAATTACCATAGCAACCTTCTGTCACGATTTCTCTGGCATCCCGTATAATTCCGAATGCAACCCATAATAAATAGGGACCAGGGTCGAGAAGCACACGTTGCATGACCGGGATTCACGGGACCGAGGAGAAAACTAATTATCACCGATAAATACTTAACCCTGGTACCAAGGTTCCAGGTAAAGAACGCGAGAAAGAAAGTTATTGAATGTACCCGGTGGTTTGATATTTCACGGTTCCGTTTCTCACGGGAATTCCCGTGCACGCTATTTGTCGTAAACGCTGCCGGGCTTTGGAAAAGCACGATAAGAACGCGAGAGAATATATTATTAACGTCTTGCCGGCTAAGTACGAGCTTCCAACTGGATAATACCGTGGCGAAAAGGTTAAATATTCCGGGGACCGGTGTGATTAACCGGGCAGGAAGGCAGGTAGCAGAGCTACCGGATTTAAAAGAAGCGGTTATTTATGAAACCTCTCCGTGTAATTTTCGAGGAAACGAGGGGAATTAAGCCGGCTAACTTGCTCGTTAAATTCAGATAGAGGAGGTGTATTATTGCCCCGGACATTAGCGAATGGCACCATAAAACGATACGCGAGCAAGAATCACGGGGGCTTTTAAGATTTACAATGCACGGATCTACGCCGTACGAAGACCCCTGGGCGAGGGAACACCTTGGAATGTCCAATGACACTGTCGCCGATACATAAAATTCTCATAAAAGTTCGCGTCCCGTCGATTAACACCGGACAACCGGAAGTAACAGGCACATAAAAGGACGGAAATCGCGATTTTCCGTTATTTATCATACTTTGCCATTTATTCGTTGCGCCATCCTCTATGACGATCTCGTGAGTCACTGAGAGGGAACCTTGATAAAATATTTTGCCTCGATGAGCTTTATGGAGCATAACCTAGCAACAACAACGTTAATGTCACGGAAATATTTGTGTTTTAACACACTGAACGACGGTCCCGTGAAAACGCGGGTTTCTAAGTTTATCACTCTGTTTTGGATGATCTAGTGTGCATTCGCGTAACAATTTTGATGATAAAATGCATGGAAATAACTATTCTGAAAAGATACTTTGTATCCAGTAAATGATCGTTGATTCCAAGTTGACTGCGTTGTCTTTGGTCATTGGTGACCTTTGGCTACGATTTTGGGCCCTAAAGTTGCATTTATGCTAGTCGCAACGCGAGTACTGACGATTCTAATCGTGCCACAGCCTGTGACACAAATTCGAATGGATTTATTTCAACTCGGGAACTTGTAATCGAAGTTCATAGGCACGTTAGAGTGATCGGTGTTGGAAAACAAAGCAGCACGCTGTACCTTGCGAAAAACCATCATGAATTGTAATAGAAATGAGAACAGAGATGGAAGAAGTGGTCGTAGAGGGAATTAAATGAACTGGTGATGTGAGAAGGGTGAAATATGTTTGTTTCAATACGAAATTTCTTCGACTCACCATAACGTAGTGGCGCTGCATCTCCGTCTTGTCCTGGGCGAGTTTCTCCAGCTCCAATTTAATACTGAACAGAAGAAGCAGGAAAACGCACGTGTAAGCAAAATATTTGTAAGTGCAGGCTGCATAGGGAAGCTATGGGGTGGGTCGTTCATGGGGGTGGATCGCGAAATAAAATAACTCGACATGGTTGACTACTAGAACTACCACTGTGATCAAAATAATTTCAGACTTCTTATTTTTGCAAATAAAATGGGGAAAATTTTGAAAAATATTTATCGATGGATCGTAACCATGCTACTCCGATTAATATCGAGTAATATACTCTATATCCATGCAAATACACGTAATAACCCGGTAGTTCTAGTGCCATATAGCCAATTATAGGGGTCAAAATAGTTTCAGACCTCTTATTTTTGGAAATAAAATAAGGAAAATTTTGAAAAATATTTATAGATGGATCGTAACCATGCTACTCCAATTAATATCGAGTATATACTCTATATCCATGTAAATACACGTAATAAACCGGTAGTTCTAGTGATATATGGCACATTATAGAGGTAAAAATAATGTCAAACCTCCCATTTTTGCCAATACAATTGGTAAAAATTTTGAAAAATATTTATCACTGGATTATAATCATACTACTTCAACTAATATCGAATACATATATTCTAGTGTCATATAGCACATTATAAGGGGTCAAACGTCCCATTTTTGCGAATACAATTGGGAAAAATTTTGAGAAATACTCGGCCGCTTTTAACACAGTTGATATCGATTTTTCTTCACACAGGATCATTACCATACTACGTCAATTAATATCAATCACGAACTCTATATCCAGTTACACGTTACATACCGGTAGTTCTAGTGTTACAGGCCTACCACAGGGGTCAAACTGCTTCATTTGAAATCTTTTACTTTCCCGAACACGATATGCAGTAATTATACAATACTCCAATCAATATCAATTATACACCGTACATTCAGGTATACCTTAAAAATCGGTACATTTAATAACACGTAACTACGACAGGGGTCAGCGAGACTGACATATTCCGATTCTATTTTATTCTGTAAACAAAATATCGAATAATCATATAATAATAATACCCTAATCAGTATCAATTATATACCGCGTATTTAAGTTGCAAGTTAGAGATCGGTAGTTCCAGTGTCACAGAATTACCACAGGGGTCAGACTGTCATACTTGGAACTTTTTACTTTTGCTAATAAGATAAGCAATAATTACGGTGCATTTCAATTAATACCAATTACGCACCGTATATTTAGGTACAACTTGAAGATCGGTAATTCTAATGGCACAGATTTACCACAGGGGTCAGTCCAACTGACTTATTTCAAGCTTTTTATTTTCGCAAACGAGATACGCAATAATTATATGATACTCCAATTAACATCAATTATATACCGTGTATTTAGGTCCGAGTTAAAGATCGGTAGTTCTAATGGCACTTACATTTACTACAGGGGTCAAACTGCCTCGTTTCGATCTTTTTATTTTCCCAAACGAGATAAACTCGCAATCGGACTGCTTTAACTCAATTACACCGGTTTAATTAATATCGAGTAAGTACTTTAAATTCAGGCACGCGTTAGAGACCGGTAGTTCCAGTATTATAGCACTACCACAGAGGTCAACATAACTTATCTCGCACTGCTAATTTTTGCGAATAGGATATATGCAACGAATATGGAAAATATTCGACTGTTTTCCCCTTTTGACAGTTATCCCTTTGCAACATGTATCATTCGATTCAGTCACTATTACAAAATGATATAATAATTATAAAATATTGCAAATAACAGGGGTACTTCGAAGAGTAAAATTCACTATCCTAATTTTTAATTAACCCTTTGCACTCGGTGATTACTTTCGTTAGAGAGAAATAGCAATTCGAAGACTCTCTGCTGTAACGTCGAGAATATTTTTGAAACGGTAAATAAACAATCGGGTATAAATTAACGCTTGAAATTATTTTACTTTCACGTTGCACGTAAGCTTAGGTTATTTTAGATTTGATATGTTAATTAATATGCATCTTTGGAATTCGATTAAACGATGACTTAGGCTCACCTCTCGAGTGCAAAGGGTCAATAGTACTCCTAACTATGAAAGCTTATGCGAGCAGGTGAGATTCTGGAATTCGGTCGAAGGAACAGGGATGAACGCGAATATTCGCGTGCCAAGTCTTGTCTCGTGACAGGCGAGTATTGCTGGTTGAATAGCGTAATTAAAAAGGAGGAAATCGGGCACTACTGTGCACGAACAGTTCAGTGACGTATCAATTGGACTTGTTTAACTTTTGGATAATTTCCTTTCGGGCCACGTCGCTATGATTAACCCTTTGCACCTGCAGAGACGACCCTAAGTCACCGTTTAACCAAATTCCGAATTATTTATTATTTATATTAGACTACGACTCTACCATATCAGACTAGTACTCTACCATGACCGATCGAATGACTGACAAAGGAAGAAATAAAATAAGAAAAACCTTCAGAAAAATGAAAAATATTTAACCACTCGCGCTATCAATAAATTCACAAACGCGTGTGCCAAAACTGTGACAATTGCCTGGCCACGTGTATACCACGTCGTTGGCGATTCTGCGACGAAAGCATTACAACGTGCGTGGCACGTCTTTCTAGCGCAAGTGGTTGAAGAAAAATCGCGAAGTCGAGTGACCAAAGTGACCAAACGTTCAAACTAAGAAATGTTTAATTAAAAATTTAAAAACCACCATTTAGACTTTGCTAGATTTACTATTAACACATTGACTGCCATGGGGGTCACCGGTGGGCGGCACTCGACTTTGCTACAGCGCCGTGGGGGCCACCGGTGTAGGGCGACGCGACCATTAGTAAAAACACATAATTACAGTAAATATCGATACTGATAAATTTTTAAATAGTACCATTGTTACTACAATGGTTCGAAGAAATTAATGCCATACAGAACATGCAAAAATAATTTTATTTATTTAAACAGCTATATCTTGAGCACTATGTTACAGCCTGAATAATTTTCAAATTTCCTATTAAAACTGCAACAAACATCGATAATAGTCGTTACACCGTGCACTATGTGTGGGTGAGAACGGCGGACGTCTGTATTTATTGTCTTCGTGCCTGGCCAATGGCGGAGGCTACGGCCCTGTCTTTTTAGCCTTAAATCTACCACAATCTTAAAAATTTTTTTAATTTTTAAATAAAATAAATTTTAAAATAAAACAATTTTTTAAATTTTTATTCAAAGAAATTCGCATATCCGTTGCTCTAATATTTCTCCGGAAATTATTATTTGAGAAATTTTTACCCCGGATGAAATTAAACAGCTATATCTTGAGCACTATGTTACAGCCTGAATAATTTTCAAATTTCCTATTAAAACTGCAACAAACATCGATAATAGTCGTTACACCGTGCACTATGTGTGGGTGAGAACGGCGGACGTCTGTATTTATTGTCTTCGTGCCTGGCCAATGGCGGAGGCTACGGCCCTGTCTTTTTAGCCTTAAATCTACCACAATCTTAAAAATTTTTTTAATTTTTAAATAAAATAAATTTTAAAATAAAACAATTTTTTAAATTTTTATTCAAAGAAATTCGCATATCCGTTGCTCTAATATTTCTCCGGAAATTATTATTTGAGAAATTTTTACCCCGGATGAAATTAAACAGCTATATCTTGAGCACTATGTTACAGCCTGAATAATTTTCAAATTTCCTATTAAAACTGCAACAAACATCGATAATAGTCGTTACACCGTGCACTATGTGTGGGTGAGAACGGCGGACGTCTGTATTTATTGTCTTCGTGCCTGGCCAATGGCGGAGGCTACGGCCCTGTCTTTTTAGCCTTAAATCTACCACAATCTTAAAAATTTTTTTAATTTTTAAATAAAATAAATTTTAAAATAAAACAATTTTTTAAATTTTTATTCAAAGAAATTCGCATATCCGTTGCTCTAATATTTCTCCGGAAATTATTATTTGAGAAATTTTTACCCCGGATGAAATTAAACAGCTATATCTTGAGCACTATGTTACAGCCTGAATAATTTTCAAATTTCCTATTAAAACTGCAACAAACATCGATAATAGTCGTTACACCGTGCACTATGTGTGGGTGAGAACGGCGGACGTCTGTATTTATTGTCTTCGTGCCTGGCCAATGGCGGAGGCTACGGCCCTGTCTTTTTAGCCTTAAATCTACCACAATCTTAAAAATTTTTTTAATTTTTAAATAAAATAAATTTTAAAATAAAACAATTTTTTAAATTTTTATTCAAAGAAATTCGCATATCCGTTGCTCTAATATTTCTCCGGAAATTATTATTTGAGAAATTTTTACTCCGGATGAAGTTAAACAGCTATATCTTGAGCACTATGTTACAGCCTGAATAATTTTCAAAGTTTCTATTAAAATTTTCCCATTCGGTGTTATCGGTTACCCCACACCGATATTTCTTCAGAAATTTTGGAAGGAAATTATTATTTGAAAAATTTGTATCCCGAATGAAATTAAACGATTATATTTACTGAGACACTAAACCTACCACAACCTGAAGAATTCTCAAACTTTTTAAAAATTTTATTACAAAAAATTCGCATCCGTCACTTCGATATTTTTCCGAAAATTTTATAAAGAAATTATTATTTGTCAAATTTTTACTCCCGATGAAATTAAGCAATTACATTTGAAGCACTAAACCTAACATAACCTCGATAATTTTTAAAATTTTTATTCAAAAAAATTCATATTCGTTGCACCGATATTTCTCCGAAAATTTTATAAGGAAATTATTATTTGAAAAATTTTTATCCCGAATGAAATTAAACAACTGTATCTGAAACACTAAGCCTATCACAGCCTGAACAATTTTCAAATTTTCTATTAAAAATTCTCCATTCTGTGTTATCAGTTACTCCACTCGACTTCTCGATATCTCTCCGGAAATTTTAAGAGGAAATCATATGAAAATTTTTTACTTTGGATGAAATAAAATATCTTTATCTCAAGTTGTTAAGGGGAG